TTGCAACGCTTCCCCTTTCTAAACAGCTTCTCAGAGTGAGTTGCAACGCTTCCCCTTTCTAAACAGCTTCTCAGAGTGAGTTGCAACGCTTCCCCTTTCTAAGCAGCTTCTCAGAGTGAGTTGCAACGCTTCCCCTTTCTAAACAGCTTCTCAGAGTGAGTTGCAACGCTTCCCCTTTCTAAACAGCTTCTCAGAGTGAGTTGCAACGCTTCCCCTTTCTAAACAGCTTCTCAGAGTGAGTTGCAACGCTTCCCCTTTCTAAGCAGCTTCTCAGAGTGAGTTGCAACGCTTCCCCTTTCTAAACAGCTTCTCAGAGTGAGTTGCAACGCTTCCCCTTTCTAAGCAGCTTCTCAGAGTGAGTTGCAACGCTTCCCCTTTCTAAGCAGCTTCTCAGAGTGAGTTGCAACGCTTCCCCTTTCTAAGCAGCTTCTCAGAGTGAGTTGCAACGCTTCCCCTTTCTAAACAGCTTCTCAGAGTGAGTTGCAACGCTTCCCCTTTCTAAACAGCTTCTCAGAGTGAGTTGCAACGCTTCCCCTTTCTAAGCAGCTTCTCAGAGTGAGTTGCAACGCTTCCCCTTTCTAAGCAGCTTCTCAGAGTGAGTTGCAACGCTTCCCCTTTCTAAACAGCTTCTCAGAGTGAGTTGCAACGCTTCCCCTTTCTAAACAGCTTCTCAGAGTGAGTTGCAACGCTTCCCCTTTCTAAACAGCTTCTCAGAGTGAGTTGCACCGCTTCCCCTTTCTAAACAGCTTCTCAGAGTGAGTTGCAACGCTTCCCCTTTCTAAACAGCTTCTCAGAGTGAGTTGCAACGCTTCCCCTTTCTAAGCAGCTTCTCAGAGTGAGTTGCAACGCTTCCCCTTTCTAAACAGCTTCTCAGAGTGAGTTGCAACGCTTCCCCTTTCTAAACAGCTTCTCAGAGTGAGTTGCAACGCTTCCCCTTTCTAAACAGCTTCTCAGAGTGAGTTGCAACGCTTCCCCTTTCTAAGCAGCTTCTCAGAGTGAGTTGCAACGCTTCCCCTTTCTAAACAGCTTCTCAGAGTGAGTTGCAACGCTTCCCCTTTCTAAGCAGCTTCTCAGAGTGAGTTGCAACGCTTCCCCTTTCTAAGCAGCTTCTCAGAGTGAGTTGCAACGCTTCCCCTTTCTAAGCAGCTTCTCAGAGTGAGTTGCAACGCTTCCCCTTTCTAAACAGCTTCTCAGAGTGAGTTGCAACGCTTCCCCTTTCTAAACAGCTTCTCAGAGTGAGTTGCAACGCTTCCCCTTTCTAAGCAGCTTCTCAGAGTGAGTTGCAACGCTTCCCCTTTCTAAACAGCTTCTCAGAGTGAGTTGCAACGCTTCCCCGTTCTGAGCAGCTTCTCAGAGTGAGTTGCAACGCTTCCCCTTTCTAAACAGCTTCTCAGAGTGAGTTGCAACGCTTCCCCTTTCTAAACAGCTTCTCAGAGTGAGTTGCAACGCTTCCCCTTTCTAAGCAGCTTCTCAGAGTGAGTTGCAACGCTTCCCCTTTCTAAACAGCTTCTCAGAGTGAGTTGCAACGCTTCCCCTTTCTAAACAGCTTCTCAGAGTGAGTTGCAACGCTTCCCCTTTCTAAACAGCTTCTCAGAGTGAGTTGCAACGCTTCCCCTTTCTAAACAGCTTCTCAGAGTGAGTTGCAACGCTTCCCCTTTCTAAACAGCTTCTCAGAGTGAGTTGCAACGCTTCCCCTTTCTAAACAGCTTCTCAGAGTGAGTTGCAACGCTTCCCCTTTCTAAGCAGCTTCTCAGAGTGAGTTGCAACGCTTCCCCTTTCTAAGCAGCTTCTCAGAGTGAGTTGCAACGCTTCCCCTTTCTAAACAGCTTCTCAGAGTGAGTTGCAACGCTTCCCCTTTCTAAACAGCTTCTCAGAGTGAGTTGCAACGCTTCCCCTTTCTAAACAGCTTCTCAGAGTGAGTTGCAACGCTTCCCCTTTCTAAGCAGCTTCTCAGAGTGAGTTGCAACGCTTCCCCTTTCTAAACAGCTTCTCAGAGTGAGTTGCAACGCTTCCCCTTTCTAAACAGCTTCTCAGAGTGAGTTGCAACGCTTCCCCTTTCTAAACAGCTTCTCAGAGTGAGTTGCAACGCTTCCCCTTTCTAAACAGCTTCTCAGAGTGAGTTGCAACGCTTCCCCTTTCTAAACAGCTTCTCAGAGTGAGTTGCAACGCTTCCCCTTTCTAAACAGCTTCTCAGAGTGAGTTGCAACGCTTCCCCTTTCTAAGCAGCTTCTCAGAGTGAGTTGCAACGCTTCCCCTTTCTAAGCAGCTTCTCAGAGTGAGTTGCAACGCTTCCCCTTTCTAAGCAGCTTCTCAGAGTGAGTTGCAACGCTTCCCCTTTCTAAACAGCTTCTCAGAGTGAGTTGCAACGCTTCCCCTTTCTAAACAGCTTCTCAGAGTGAGTTGCAACGCTTCCCCTTTCTAAGCAGCTTCTCAGAGTGAGTTGCAACGCTTCCCCTTTCTAAACAGCTTCTCAGAGTGAGTTGCAACGCTTCCCCTTTCTAAACAGCTTCTCAGAGTGAGTTGCAACGCTTCCCCTTTCTAAGCAGCTTCTCAGAGTGAGTTGCAACGCTTCCCCTTTCTAAACAGCTTCTCAGAGTGAGTTGCAACGCTTCCCCTTTCTAAGCAGCTTCTCAGAGTGAGTTGCAACGCTTCCCCTTTCTAAACAGCTTCTCAGAGTGAGTTGCAACGCTTCCCCTTTCTAAACAGCTTCTCAGAGTGAGTTGCAACGCTTCCCCTTTCTAAGCAGCTTCTCAGAGTGAGTTGCAACGCTTCCCCTTTCTAAACAGCTTCTCAGAGTGAGTTGCAACGCTTCCCCTTTCTAAACAGCTTCTCAGAGTGAGTTGCAACGCTTCCCCTTTCTAAACAGCTTCTCAGAGTGAGTTGCAACGCTTCCCCTTTCTAAGCAGCTTCTCAGAGTGAGTTGCAACGCTTCCCCTTTCTAAACAGCTTCTCAGAGTGAGTTGCAACGCTTCCCCTTTCTAAGCAGCTTCTCAGAGTGAGTTGCAACGCTTCCCCTTTCTAAACAGCTTCTCAGAGTGAGTTGCAACGCTTCCCCTTTCTAAACAGCTTCTCAGAGTGAGTTGCAACGCTTCCCCGTTCTGAGCAGCTTCTCAGAGTGAGTTGCAACGCTTCCCCTTTCTAAACAGCTTCTCAGAGTGAGTTGCAACGCTTCCCCTTTCTAAACAGCTTCTCAGAGTGAGTTGCAACGCTTCCCCTTTCTAAGCAGCTTCTCAGAGTGAGTTGCAACGCTTCCCCTTTCTAAACAGCTTCTCAGAGTGAGTTGCAACGCTTCCCCTTTCTAAACAGCTTCTCAGAGTGAGTTGCAACGCTTCCCCTTTCTAAACAGCTTCTCAGAGTGAGTTGCAACGCTTCCCCTTTCTAAACAGCTTCTCAGAGTGAGTTGCAACGCTTCCCCTTTCTAAACAGCTTCTCAGAGTGAGTTGCAACGCTTCCCCTTTCTAAACAGCTTCTCAGAGTGAGTTGCAACGCTTCCCCTTTCTAAGCAGCTTCTCAGAGTGAGTTGCAACGCTTCCCCTTTCTAAGCAGCTTCTCAGAGTGAGTTGCAACGCTTCCCCTTTCTAAACAGCTTCTCAGAGTGAGTTGCAACGCTTCCCCTTTCTAAACAGCTTCTCAGAGTGAGTTGCAACGCTTCCCCTTTCTAAACAGCTTCTCAGAGTGAGTTGCAACGCTTCCCCTTTCTAAGCAGCTTCTCAGAGTGAGTTGCAACGCTTCCCCTTTCTAAACAGCTTCTCAGAGTGAGTTGCAACGCTTCCCCTTTCTAAACAGCTTCTCAGAGTGAGTTGCAACGCTTCCCCTTTCTAAACAGCTTCTCAGAGTGAGTTGCAACGCTTCCCCTTTCTAAACAGCTTCTCAGAGTGAGTTGCAACGCTTCCCCTTTCTAAGCAGCTTCTCAGAGTGAGTTGCAACGCTTCCCCTTTCTAAACAGCTTCTCAGAGTGAGTTGCAACGCTTCCCCTTTCTAAGCAGCTTCTCAGAGTGAGTTGCAACGCTTCCCCTTTCTAAACAGCTTCTCAGAGTGAGTTGCAACGCTTCCCCTTTCTAAACAGCTTCTCAGAGTGAGTTGCAACGCTTCCCCTTTCTAAACAGCTTCTCAGAGTGAGTTGCAACGCTTCCCCTTTCTAAGCAGCTTCTCAGAGTGAGTTGCAACGCTTCCCCTTTCTAAACAGCTTCTCAGAGTGAGTTGCAACGCTTCCCCTTTCTAAACAGCTTCTCAGAGTGAGTTGCAACGCTTCCCCTTTCTAAACAGCTTCTCAGAGTGAGTTGCAACGCTTCCCCTTTCTAAGCAGCTTCTCAGAGTGAGTTGCAACGCTTCCCCTTTCTAAACAGCTTCTCAGAGTGAGTTGCAACGCTTCCCCTTTCTAAACAGCTTCTCAGAGTGAGTTGCAACGCTTCCCCTTTCTAAGCAGCTTCTCAGAGTGAGTTGCAACGCTTCCCCTTTCTAAACAGCTTCTCAGAGTGAGTTGCAACGCTTCCCCTTTCTAAACAGCTTCTCAGAGTGAGTTGCAACGCTTCCCCTTTCTAAACAGCTTCTCAGAGTGAGTTGCAACGCTTCCCCTTTCTAAGCAGCTTCTCAGAGTGAGTTGCAACGCTTCCCCTTTCTAAACAGCTTCTCAGAGTGAGTTGCAACGCTTCCCCTTTCTAAGCAGCTTCTCAGAGTGAGTTGCAACGCTTCCCCTTTCTAAACAGCTTCTCAGAGTGAGTTGCAACGCTTCCCCTTTCTAAACAGCTTCTCAGAGTGAGTTGCAACGCTTCCCCTTTCTAAGCAGCTTCTCAGAGTGAGTAACGATTTTCCTCCTTCCAGCGTCTGCTGCTGTGGCCACTTCTGCTGCCAGTGCTGCTGCTGTGGCTTCGTCTTCTGCTGACCTCCCCAGTTCAGAGTGAGTGGTAACGCTTCCCCTCTTTACACAGCTTGTCAGGGTAAGAATACGGTCTATGCTGCAGACACACATCCATATCTCTCTAATGAATATAGCAACGCCTATGCACAGTGGCGCAAGAGGCCAGCTGCCACTACTGCTGAATTCTCTCCCTTGCCAACTGTCCCATGTCTCCTCTCCCACACCCCCTCTCCCTGTCCCCTACCCTCCTCCCTGTCACCTACCCTCTCTCCTGTCCCCTACCCTCCTCCCTGTCACCTACCCTCTCTCCTGTCCCCCACCCTCTCCTCTCTCTTCTTTCTTCTGTTCCTTCTCCCATCCCCCCTCCCCCCAGTTGGCTTCCTCTCCTGCTATTCTCTCTGGGCGGCCCACTGTTCCTCGGAGGGGCAGCAACGTTTGGATGTATCAACGAGGACGAAGGAAGGCACCAGTTCGGATCAGCAGGAGGTGAGGAGGACTACAGACTCGAATTCAAATTTTAATTTTCCAAGATTCCATGAGTCACTTTCGAGAATTCTCTTGCATCCTTTAATTCCCCAGACGTCTAAATAGACCTTTCCCACTCTTCCTCCACCTCCCCCTTTTCCCACCCCTGTTCCCTGTTCGAAATCCACTCTCCAGGTTTCCACTGTCCCTGGGTGCCGTGGCTTCCCCTCGCCTGCATCCTGGTCAACGTCTATCTCATGGCCAACCTGGGGTGAGTACGAGTCAACCAGGTCAACCAGGTCAACCAGAGTAACCAGAGTCAACGCCCTTCTCCCTGGGTGCCGTGGCTTCCCGTTGCGAGCATCGTGGTCAACGTGGATCTCATGGCCATACTGGGGTGAGTGAGAGCCGGTCAAAATGAGTCAAGCAGAGTCAACACCCTTCTCCTAGGGCGCCAGTGCTGTGGTTTCCCCTCGCCAGCATCCTGGTCAACGTGTATCTCATGGCCAACCTGGGTGAGTACGAGTCAACCAGAGTCAAGCATTTCAACCAGAGGCATGCCCTCCTCCCAGGGTTCTAGAGGGTGCTTATGAATGCTGATGGGTGATCTAAAGCTAGTCCTCGAAAACTTCAAGAGTCGCATGGAGGCATTGAAATTCAGCGCATGGAGCAAAGGATCCCAGCGCACTTCAGTAGCGGGTTCGCCTACGTGCACAAGTATATCTTGAAGGAAGAGAGAGAATGCTTCAAGGGTTTATAAGGTTCTCTTTTCCATTTTTCCACTTGTACATGAAGGCGAATATGATACGGAAGTGCACCGGGAGCCTTTTCTCCACGATTTCTTATGGCTCTATGCGATTCTTAACGTTTCCTAGGACTAGCTTTCGATCACCCCTTGGCATCTGTTGCTTTCCTCCCCCTGCCAGCATATCCTTTTCAACGTATACCATATCGCAAATCTGGGGTGAGGGGGCAAGTAAAGAAAGTCAAGCTTAGGCAAGCTGAGCCAAGCAAAGTCAAGTAAGTCAACAAAGGTCAACCAGGGTCAGCGCCCTTCTCGCAGGGTGCCAGTTCCCTTGGGTGTTCCCCTCGCCAGCATCCTCGTCAGCGTGTATCTCATGGCGAACCTGGGGTGAGTACGAGTCAACCATAGTCAAGCAGAGTCAAGCACGGTGCTAGTGCCAAGCAGAGTCAAGCACGGTGCTAGTGCCAAGCAGAGTCAAGCACGGTGCTAGTGCCCCTGGGAGGGAGTGTGATTCCCTTCTCCTCGCCAGCATCCTCGTCAAACCGGAGTAAAGCCACTCGGTCGTTTACCTCGCCAACGGAATTCGCGATAGTGCTGTGGGGAAAGCCCACGCGTCGGGCCCTCTTATGTCTCTCGCCTTCCTCCCATGCCCCTCTTCGTCTTCTTATTCCCCTCGCCCTCCTTCCCCCTCTTCCTACCATCCAGTGCCTCCACGTGGCTCTACTCCTCCTCATGGCTCGCTATAGGAGCACTCGTTTACCTCGCGTACGGAATCCGCCACAGTGCTTTGGGGAAAGTCCATGCCGCGGGCCCGCGCGTTCTGGATGCCTCCAAGCGCACGGCTAGCTGGTGGAACCTGGGCACGCCGTTTGAGGAGTGGGTGGTGCAACAGACGGGCAGGCAGGCGCGGGTGGGGCAAGGCCAAGGCAGATAGACAGACAGAGCAAGGAGTGTGACTGGATGCCTCAAAGCGCACTGCTAGCTGGTGGAACCTGGGCACGTCGTTTGAGGAGTGGGTGGTGAAGCAGACGGGCAGGCAGGCAGGCAGAGAGGCACAGTGGACAGAGTGGCTTGGGTAATACATAGGCATGGGTGCTGGCGTGCCACCAAACCCACGCTACTGGGTCCGTGCGTCCTGGATGCCTCAAAGCGCACTGCCAGCTGATGGAACCTGGGGACGCCTTTTGAGGAGTGGGTGGTGCAGCAGACGCACAGGCAGTCAAGCAGAGGGGTAGGCAAAGGGGCAGGCAGAGGGGCAGGCAGGTGAAAAATAGACGAGTGGTATGCATGCCAGCAAGCCCACTCCCGGGCCCGCCCGTTCTGGATGGTTCCAAGCGGACGGGCAACTGGTGGAACCTGGGGACTCTGTTTGAGGAGTGGGTGGTGAAGCAGACGCACAGACAGGCAGGCAGGGAGGCGCGAGTGTTGAGGGAACAAGGCATGTGAGTGTGAGGTTGCACAAGAGGATCGGTGTGAGGGGGGAGTAGTGGAGGAGGGGAACTGGTGCAAGGGGAGGGTAGGGAAGCAGGGGGGAGTGGTGAAAGTACCATCAACACAGCTCCATACAATGTGTTCCGTTACAAGCTGGTCATGGTCTCATCATTTGTACATACGGTAGTGTTGCGACATTCTTGTGCTGCTCTTAAAAGCACCTGAGCATGGCTGTTGCTCGTTACAAAACGAATTCGATACATGCAATAAATGTCGACATTTGCATGTGTGTGAATCATGGTAGCGGATGTGATGCGACACAGTGAATGTACACATGTACAGTGCATATTGCAATGCAAAATGCGCACGAAGAAATACATGCTTATTTTCTTCTAAAGGGGAACTGTAATAAAACAAAATAGCTACTCATCTGGCCACCCCGTTACAACTAGGACACAATACCAGCCCATTCTCGTTACACACATCACACTCAAAAAATCCACCCCCACCACTACCAGCACCAGCAGCAGCAGCTACCTTCCTGCTTCCATGGCAATAATTGCAGGGAACAAACCGAGCATCGCCACAACCCCTACACACACTCCCACCAGTAGCACCAGCAGAAGACCCACCACCAGCCGCACCAGCAGCGCTAACAGACAAACTACGCCGACCACTGGCCGCTACAGCCGCGCCGCCACCTGCTGCCTTGAGCCAGACGACCAGCGCGTCTAGCGCCCCCTCCTCGTAGAGCTGTAGCACCGCCTCTGTGCCGCCCACGTGCCGCCCGCGCACGAACAGCTGCGGGACACGTGGCATGTCCCCCGCGAATAGCAGCAGCAGCTCATCCTGATAGGCTGGGTGTAGCGCCACGTCACGCTCCTGGAATCGCAGGTGAAGGCTCTGATTGGTTGGAAGCGAACAGGGGAAAGGAAAGGTGGCGGAAGGGGTAAGAAAAAAGGAGAAGAGGGTGGAGGTTGAATGGGGAATGACAAGCAGCATCAGCTCGCACTGATAGGGCGTCTAAGGCCCCCTCCTCGTACATCTGTAGCACCTCCTCTTGCTGCCCACGTGCCGCCCGCGGACGAATAGCTGGGGGACACGTGGCATGTCCCCTGCGAATAGCAGCAGCAGCTCGTCCTGATAAGCTGGATGTAGTGACACGTCACGCTCCTGGAATCGGAGATGGAGGCTCTGATTGGTCAGAAGGTATGTGGGGGGTGCAGGGGCAGGAAGGGTGGGGAGTGCAAGTGAATAAAGATGAGCCGCAGCTCGTCCTGATAGGCTGGGTGCAATCTTGTAGCCCCCCAACATGGTGCAGCAACAAGTCTTGTTGGAATCTTGCAATCTTGTAGCCCCCCAACATGGTGCAGCAACAAGTCTTGTTGGAATCTTGCAATCTTGTAGCCCCCCAACATGGTGCAGCAACAAGTCTTGTTGGAATCTTGCAATCTTGTAGCCCCCCAACATGGTGCAGCAACAAGTCTTGTTGGAATCTTGCAATCTTGTAGCCCCCCAACATGGTGCAGCAACAAGTCTTGTTGGAATCTTGCAATCTTGTAGCCCCCCAACATGGTGCAGCAACAAGTCTTGTTGGAATCTTGCAATCTTGTAGCCCCCCAACATGGTGCAGCAACAAGTCTTGTTGGAATCTTGCAATCTTGTAGCCCCCCAACATGGTGCAGCAACAAGTCTTGTTGGAATCTTGCAATCTTGTAGCCCCCCAACATGGTGCAGCAACAAGTCTTGTTGAAATCTTGCAATCTTGTAGCCCCCCAACATGGTGCAGCAACAAGTCTTGTTGGAATCTTGCAATCTTGTAGCCCCCCAACATGGTGCAGCAACAAGTCTTGTTGGAATCTTGCAATCTTGTAGCCCCCCAACATGGTGCAGCAACAAGTCTTGTTGGAATCTTGCAATCTTGTAGCCCCCTAACATGGTGCAGCAACAAGTCTTGTTGGAATCTTGCAATCTTGTAGCCCCCCAACATGGTGCAGCAACAAGTCTTGTTGGAATCTTGCAATCTTGTAGCCCTTGCCATGCGGCGCCATGTCACGCTCCTGGAAGCGCAGACGGAGGCTATGGTTGGTTGGAGGCTATGGTTGGTTGGAGGCTATGGTTGGTTGGAGGCTATGGTTGGTTGGAGGCAAGTGCGGAAGGGTAGGAAGTGTGGGGGCAGGGGAAATGGGGAGGGGATGCACGTGAATTGGGTAGAAGCAACAGCTCGTCCTGATAGGCTGGGGGGCAGTGCCACGTCACACTCCTGGAATCACAGATGAAAGCACTTGACTTGACTTGGTGGTGTATGCAACGACATGATTCTCTCTCAGAAAGCCTCCAGCGACGTCGAATACACCACCACCAGCTACCCCCTTCCCCACCCCCAAAACTCCCGCCTTCTTCCATGCACCAGTCACCAGTGTGCAACCCACTCACTTCCAGCAGTGCTCGCATCTCCACGCAGACAGCGTGTGTCGTCCTCATAGCCTCAAGAGACGTCACATACAGCACCACCAGCTGCTCCCCGCCAGGCGGGCAGTTCACCTCAAACCGACTCAACTCCCGCTCCAGACAATGTGCTGCTATCCCCACCACTGCTGCCAACTGCTCCCCCTCTGGCTGGCAATCCACCTCAAACCGACTCAACTCACCATCAGTCTGACACACCCATTCATGCAAGAGGCATACCTGCAAGCGCGCCACTCACCTTGAGGAGTGCCCGCATCTTCACACAGTCAGCGTGTGTCTTCCTGACTGCTTCAAGGGACGTCACATACAGCACCACCAGCTGCTCCCCTCCTGGTGGGCAGGTCACCTCAAACGGACTCAGCTCGCGCTCCAAGCACTCCGCTGCTATCCCCGCCACTGCTGCCAGTGACCGCTCTGCTGCTATCGAGGCTGCTTGTATGGGATCATTCTCAGAGTCTAAGAAAGGATCGCTCGTAAGAGCAGAGGAGTGGTTGCTAGCATGCGGTGCAACTGTGCTTCGGTCGGCCACCAGGTCGTGTCTCTGCTGCTCTGATACCAGTGGCTCGTGTTGAAGGTCAGTTGGAAAGCCGTTTTGAGGAGCTTCAGAAGAGAATCCATGCCCGACAGACGTGTCCCTGTCACCATCACCATGACCATCACTATTACCATCACCATTACCATCACCACCACCATCATCGCCACCATCATTGCCATCACCATCATCAGCACACAGCTGCAGCAGCTCCTCTAGTGCCTCCATATCCACATCATCCTCGTTATAATGACGCCTCTCTGATTCGTTAAGCTGCTGAAAGGTACGCTTCAAGTGACCATCAGCACCACCCAAGGCGTGACCATTATCCCCTTTGTCACTCTCCCTTTTGTCACCCTCATGACTGTCACACCCCATAGAGCATGTAAAAGCACCACAGGGAACTCTATCCAAAGCGACCATCTCGTCTGACTGTGTCTGCCCCCTTTCTAGAAGCACATTCCTCTGCTGCTCCGCTGAGTATGTCCCTCCCTCGACCTCAAAATCATTGCCTCTTGCTCCTTGTTCTAAATATTCCCTTCCTTCTACTCCTCCTGCTCCACCTCCCTCCACCGCTTTGCATCGCTCACCACTGATTCTCTCTCTTCTCTCACCCATCCCCACCACGAGCTCTCCATTTTCCTCCCCTGGTGCCTCTAGTCTCCCCTCTTTCGTTTCTCTTTCCATCGTCCTTCCCCTTTCCAGTTCGTCTCCCAACGCCTTGTCCCACTCCCCCTCCTCCTCCCCCAACGCCAACTCGGTTCCTCCCACTCGCCCCCCTTCCTCTCCCCTTTCGACCCCCTCCTCCCTCTCGTCGCCCTCCCCTTCTCCCTCCTCCTCCCTTTCTCCACCCTCCTCCCCCTCGTCCCCCTCTAACCCGGCTAGTAAATAACCCATATCTATCCCCCCATCATCCCCCTCCTCCTCCTCCTCCTCCTCCTCCTCCTCCTCCTCCTCCTCCTCCTCCTCCTCCTCCTCCTCCTCCTCCTCCTCCTCCTCCTCCTCCTCCTCCCCTCCATCCAGCACCCCTTCCAAATCAATCACATTCCCATCCTCGTTATAGCCACCTCCGAAAGAATCACCTCCCGCTCTCCCATCCCCACCTCCTCCCATCCCTTCCAGCCCCGAACCTCCCTCCAACTCCTCCCCGCGAACCCTAAAAGAGGGTAAACCCAGTAATCCCCCCATTCCCGGGGCAACATCCCCTAGCTCTGGCCGCTGCAGCAGCAGGGCGGCAGGGTCTGGCGTGGCGTCGTCAGCCTTCATACGCGCTATAGCCTCCTCCACTGGATCGTCTAGAACCACCATGGGGAGAGGGAACGGGAGAGGGGGAGGGTTTGAAGCGGAAAGAGTGATGGGGGTGTTGTGGCTGCTAGACGCTGCTGACGCTGGTGCTGTCTCTGGTGCTGCTGCTGGTATTGCTCCTGCTGCTGTTGCTGCTGCTGCTGCTGCTGCTGCTGCTGCTGCTGCTGCTGCTGCTGGTACTGCTGGTACTGCTACAG